ATGTGAGGGTTAGACATGACATGGTTATTAGTGGATCATGCCTCTAGATTTTTGGAAGGTTTATTTTGATAGAAGCCTAGGAATAACTTCAGAAAAATCTGGTTTTAGATAAACTTTCCGTGTTTTATGTGCAGCCTGCCACTTGTTTGGAAGCAATTTAAAAGGGGATGTTGAGAGGACAGCTGTAGGTACCAACCCCAGGTACCCAGAGCAGGACCCCAAAGTCAGGGCTGAAATATCAGTGCAGGGAAGTGCAGTCCTGGGGTTTCATTCTCAAGAACAGCAATTCTCAGCAACAACATTTTTGGCTCATTCTTTTCTTCAGTTTTGTATTTGTGCTTTGGGATTATTTATATTTATAAACGTGCTCCATTTACACACTGCTTGTGGAAGGGTCCTGGGGCTCTGTTCTCCACAATCCACCCGGGAACAGCTGAACCTGACTGCAAAGCTGATGGGAAAAGCCAGGAGAAAACACACTCAGCGTGAGCAGGAGATGTCCTGCATGGGTGCAAAGACAGTGTTTGAGCTCATTTCCCCTTTTTACCGTTCCTATTGCTACAGAAACAAATCAGATCTTTAGGTGGAGAGGGGCGGGGAGCAGTCAAGCCTCACAGCATGGAAAGATGGGAAAAGGACTGAAGAGCAGAGAGTAAGAGGATGTGAGCTGTGCTCACAATGAAATCACTGGGAATTCTGCCATGGAAGCAGAACTGAGTTGTTCTTTCAGGTATGAAAAGTACTGTGAATGACAAACAGAACTCCCATTAAGAGGTTAGGACAGGAAGTTGTTTTCTTCCAGGGATGAGCCAAGAAGCTGCAAAAGCTGAGTCCCTAAATGTGAGTGTTGAAGCCAAGCCTTGACAGAAGCCTTGCTTCCAGCATCCCCTGAGGGTGTCTTTTAATTCCCATTAATATCTCTTGTGGTCCTTCCACCTCTCTCTTGATTCCCACTGGCCTTCCTTCTCTTTTCCATCTCATCAAGGACTGCTCTGCAGTCTAAAGCAGGAGCCAGAGGATGTCTTTGCATTGTCTTTAGTAACCTTTGAATCAGAGCAGGGAGGTCACAGTTCTTAGGTTTATAATTTGTGTTGCAGATAAATCAGGATATTTTGCTATAGTTTTGATTTGAGCCTCACAAAGCCCTGGAAATAACAGAAGCAGCAAATAGATAAAAAAAGGTTCATGCCAATGGGACAAGCAAAATATGTCATCCCAACACAAGCAGAGCTTGGTGCAGAGCTAGGAATGAAGGCTAAGTCCTGACTTCCCTCCTTCTGCTTTTACCATTCCATCCTGCAAACTCCCCCAGATTATCCTAAAATTGTGCAAAGAGTACCAGCCAGCAGAGACCAGCTCAGCCTGGCTGCTCTGAGCCTGCCAAGGCTGTTGGGATAGCGAGAGAAGGGACACACAATTCATTCTGAGAAGGTTTTTTCCCCCTTTTTGTCGTCCTCTCTGTGGTGGTTTGTGAAATGCCGAGGAGGAGCAGTACAATGAAGAGAAAATGTTCCAAGGAAGGCAGGCTGCTCCGTGGCATTGCCCAACAGCAGCAGTGTCCCAAGCACGGAGCTGTGCATGGGGGTGTGGGACACACATGGGGACCTGACCCTGCTGGCAGGGGCCTCCCTTCCCTCTGAGTTCACAGAGCACAGAAAGGGCACAGAACCAGAGCCTCCCCCTGCCTGGCTGAGGCTCTCCCTCACTCCAGCACAAATGCAGGTGCAAAGTTAGCGAGTCCAGGAGTTTTTTGCACAATTTAGAGCCATAAAATGGAAGCTGCCTCTGAGCTTTTGGCTCTTCCTCTCTTGCAAGTTTGGGCCAGATGCAAAAGAGGACTTAAGCACTTACAATTCCATAGGTTACTCCCTGCTCAGGATAACATTTCTTCCAGTACCAGCAGCTTTATGTCTGGACATGCCCAGAACTGCTGGGATCTGAGCAGCTTAGTGCAGAGTCCCCACCTAAAACCCACTGGGATCCTCGGAGGAGGAAAGGAGCGTCCCTTTTCTGAAGACAGCCAGGTCAGGAATGTCCCCAGGCTGATGCACAGCAGCAGGACCTGTCCCCTCCCCTGGTGCAGGGGCTCCCTTTAAAGCTGAGCAGGCAGGAGAGGCGTGCTGGGGCTGCAGGGCTTGCTTTGCACTGAAGGCTCAGCACAGGGACAGTCCTGAAAGCTCAGCTGGGACTGGCCAGGAGAACAAGCGTTCCCTCCAGGACTGAGACAGCGAATCTCAATGTTCCCTGCACAAAGAAGAAACAAAATCTCCAGGCCCTTTCAAGGAAAACATAAATGTAGTGAATTAGAGCAAAACCAAAACAAAACCAGAAAAACAACCAAGCAGAAAAACACACCACCAAAAAACTGAAGAAACCACAGTTATTCTGCTGCCTAATATCAGAAGACATGATGGTACTTGCAGCTTCCTGCTTGGACCTGGCTTGCTCCAAAGTTATTTTGTGTGTTAATCCTGTGGTTTAGATGATGAAGATTAGGTCTGAGTGAGCTGGTTGAGATAAAAGGGGAAAAGGCAGCAACCAAACCTTCACCCAAACTCCAACCTAAACTTTTCTAAGCTTTGAATAAAATAAAATAAAAAAAGTATTAACTTTTCTTTATTATTCTTTTGTTTTGCAATTAAGATTTTATTTGTAGGTACTGTTATTCATCAGCTACAGTTATTCATTCAAAGCTTTGGAAGTCACAGTGCTGTGAGGAGAGCTCTTATCCCTGCAAACACCAAAACACACACTCCAGGATCACAAAAATATGTTTCTTCTGTCTCTCCTGAACTTGGCTTTTTAATGGAATAGGGATTTTTAACCCTAGTTCCTGCTTCCAGTGTAACTGCCACCATACCGTGCAAGTTTCTGCTCAGTTTTGGTTTCTATGCATCTTGGCCTGGAATGTTCAGTTACAGATTTCCTGATAAAGATCCCAGCTGACAGCCAGCAATTTGGCCAATGTTCCTCAAAAAAACAGGAATATAAAATCATGTTCCAAAACCTAAGCAGAAATGTGTGAGTGATTGATTCTCGAAAAAAAAAAACCCAAACCCAAAACTAAACAAACAAGAGCTGCCTGCTGCTTGGCAATTTTGAAAATTAAATTTAAACTCTGTTCTTTTACTTTACTACGTAATACTTCTCAGTACCTATTTTTAAATAGGTGTCTCAGCCAATAGCACACTTTAGGGCTTGGTTAGCACATATTTGGCACGCAGAGCACCAGGGAAAAACACATTTACTGCATTTATTCTCAGGCTGGACCACTCTGGAGATGTCAAATGCACCCAGAACACAGAGCCAGGCTTTGCTCCTGTGCAGACCCTGGGCACGTTGGCACAGCCTCGTGCTGGGAGCTCACAGACAGATCCTGACAGCTCTGGGGCTGCTCAGCAGCACTTGGCACACGCCCTGAGCCCCTGGCTGTGACAGCCCAGGGGATTGGGCTGCTGGAGTATTGGCCATGTTCTGCTCAGAGAATCCCCTTTCCCCTCCTGCAGCCCAGCACAGCCCAACAGGGCAGGAAAAGCCTCGGGATCTGTCCCATGAGGGATGCAAATCCCAGCAGGGAGGAGCTGTGGGACCAGCTCACCCCAACCTCAGCACAAGGCAGCTGCTCCTCGGGCTCTGCAGGACATGAAGGAGATGCTCAGATTGGAGTCTGGCTTCTTCACTGTGTCACTGGCAACAGGCAGGTGCCTCCAAAAGGAGGCTGAGCTTCCCCCCTGGTCAGGAAATGAGGATTCTGTCAGTCCAGGAGGATTAATCCAAGCCCTCCAGCCCTAAAGCCGGGTCGAGTGTCACAGGAGGGCACAAGGCTGTGGGAAGGGCTGCTGCTCACACCTGCAATCACTGACTTCGGGTGGCACCAAGGAGGGAGCTGCTTTCTGTGCTCCTGTTTCTGCAGGAAATATTAAAAAATAATTAAAATTATTTAATTAATTAAATAATTAATTTAGCTCCAGAGAGTGACTTCCATCATTATAACCGAAGAGACTTTGCTTAACATTTGAACTTTCTGAGTGCTTATTCTAATTCAACCACAGAACCCTCTGAGAGTTCAGCCATCACTAATTAAGACCTGCAACGATTTATCTGTGGTTCATCCGTGCTCTTGGCAGCTTCTCTTCAGAGGGACTGAGCACTGCACAGTGTCAGTGCTGGGAATGCCTTCAGAGGAGCACAGGCACCAGCCAACTCCACCTCTGAGTCGCCTCCCTTGCCCCTTCCAGAGCTGGCAATGCTTCTGTGTGGCCTCACATTTAGGGTGAAAACAAATAACCCACTTCAAAAATAAACTGCCCTAGGAAGTGTCTTTGAAAATTTTTAAAGCTAAATTATAAAAACATAACATGCAAATGTAAATAATTTCCCCTGCAATGAATGCAGGAAATAAAGAAGTGGTGTAAACAATAGGGAATTGGACAGGTCTGTTTTATTTCCCTTCCTCCTCCATCTCCCCCACAGTGTGATTTAATAAATATTCATGAAAAAGAAAGGAATAGCACTTATCTATTAATTTTTCTGCTTTTATTTTCTGATTATGCCTAATTTAAAAGTGTTTTGGGGTTACATTTAGTCATACATATATGGTTGTTTGAGCCTTTTATTAGCCATGATTCATTGTGCATATCAGCACAGCGTGGAGCTGATGCCTTCAGCGTGTGTCTGCTCCAGGATGCTCAGTTATCTGCCTGCCCCCAGCTATCCAAAGGGTTGGATTTGCATGGACACTGCTCCCCCATGGAGGAGAATGCCAGGAATGACCGGTCTGGTGCTACCTGGCCAGGTGAGCTTCCATTCAAATAATGCACATGCCACCAGGACAATTCAGATCAAAGGTCTGCCTTCAACAGAATTCAAATGTAGGGACTCCCAAAGCAGATTTAGCAGCTGGCTTTACGAATGAACTTATGTCAGCTGCTCTGTATGATGAGTGACTAAATGACTTCTGTATCTAATCTTATCTCGCTATCTGTCTGTCTGTTTTTCAGCATTTCAGTGCCCATCACCACATTATCCAGGCGCCACCAGAAGATTAGGAAGCTTTGCAGTGACATTCTCAACCAGGTCTGTTCAAAGGTCATTAGCAGAGCCCTTCACAGTGGAAAAGCCCAGAGGGGAGCACGGAAGTTACCACAGGAGGAGAGGGAAAGGGAAAGGGAAAGGGAAAGGGAAAGGGAAAGGGAAAGGGAAAGGGAAAGGGAAAGGAAAAGGAAAAGGAAAAGGAAAAGGAAAAGGAAAAGGAAAAGGAAAAGGAAAAGGAAAAGGAAAAGGAAAAGGAAAAGGAAAAGGAAAAGGAAAAGGAAAAGGAGGCAGCAACTGCTGGAGCCTTTCTGGTTGTGCTCACATGGTGTGGATCTGCTCAGGTGCTGGAGCCCAGGGACCTCGTGGCAGTGGCCTTTGTGCTGCTGCAGGGACTGTCACACTGGTTGTATGCTCCTGTCACCTGGGACTTTGGCACTGCTGTCCCTGTGCTCTCCTCAGATGCCATTGCCAAGCTGTGTCTCTGATTTCTGTAAGCTCCAGCCTCAGAGCACGATGTTTCTCTTCAAACACCCCAAGCAGAGAGTGGGCACTGCAACTTGGAACCAGCTTCTCTGAGAAAATGTATTAGTTCAGTTTTATTTTCCTCCCAGTGGACAAACCCTCCCAAGTCCCTGTGTTTGAAGAAGCCAGAAGGGGTGGGTTTCAATGTATGCAAAGCTACACAGGACCCACGGAATCAGGAGAGAGGAGTTTGTCCCAGGGATGGCAGCCCTGCTCCCACTGAAGCTGTGGTGTCTCTGGGGACAGCCTGGGAGGGTTCCAGGAGGGGCACTGCCCATCCCCTGCTGCTCTCCAGGCAGGTGCTGCCAAGTGAAAATGTGCCCAAGCTGTTTTTTGCAGCACTGGCTCAGTCCTGAGGAGCCAATGGCAATTTGCTGATGTGTTGCTCAAGCAAACCCTGCAGTCCTCTGTGCCCCCCTTGGTATGAAAGCAGCCGGGGATTTACGCTGGGGGATAAATAGGTGGTTCCAAAGTGAGAAGGAAAGAGCCAAAGCTGGAAGCTAACCACAAACGTGGGTGTAAACGATTACCAAAGGCTTCCAGTAACTCTGCTATCATCAGAGACTGGCTTTATGGGTATGGCCTCAAGAAGTTTCCCTCCACTTAATTAAAGAGGCAGATAAGTATCTAGGTGGAGTGTGCAGATAGGTTCTGAATGAGTTATCCACTAAGGCTGGTTCGCTGCACCTATTGTTAAAGCCAGAATATAATATCAGATTAATGCATTATATTTGCCTATTATAGCACTATGTCATCATTATATGACATGTTATAATTAAAGCTCTGCATTAGAAACAAAACTATTTGGCTTGGGATAAGTTGCCTTTATGACTTCTGTGGTTATGATTTCCTCCTTTTCTTAACCCCTTAAAAATGCATAATATAGCTATTTGTAGCTGTATAAAGAAAGTTTCTAGTTTCAGATTCTAATCTCAGGTAATTCAATGTAAATAAAGTCAAAATCTGGCACATAGTCTTTTCCTGTGTCAGAATATTTGCGAGTAGAGGGAAATCCGTGTTGTCAGGGTTGACAGAATCCCAGAGATGGGCAGATTAAAGAAGGGGGTGCCTGACTCGCCCTCCTGCCCGTGGTCCCTCAGCTGTCCCCAGCAGCCCCTGGCTTTGGACCATTCCCCAGGACTTTTCAGGGAGCCTCTTGGCAAACTCTCCCTCTTCCTTTTCCTTCCTGGAACTTCAGGAGATAAAATTGGTTCTTAGAGCAGTTCCTGGCCGCAGCTGCCGGGAACCCAGCGCTCGCAGATGGAGCAGGGGTGTGGGATCGCTGCCTCGCTGAGATCCGCCTGCCACTGCAGCTTGGCTAACCAACCATGCTAATGAATTTAATTAGCCATTTGCATATGCACGCTTTTCAATTTCAGTAGTTGGTGATTCACCAGGTAAGAGCCAGCCTCAGCCTTGCTGTCAGTGGGGCAGAGGGTGCCAGCAGTGCCCCTGTCCCCCACACCAAGGGCACGGAACAGGGCAGTTCCCAAAAGCAGCCAGGCTGGGGCTGCTCTGGCAGGGCTGGCAGGGCACTGAATCTTCGCAGGCAGCAGCTATTATCCAATATTTTGCAATGCTCTTATATAAATCTAATTGATGTCCTTTATGCCCCTGGCCGGAGTGAGCGCCTGTTTGGCTGGGAGATGCCCCCTCAGTGACCAGGGCACCCTGCCAGCAGCGGGGGTGACACCCCCTGGCCCTGTCCATCCCTCTGTCAGGATATTCTGCTGCTGCAGTGCTGCTAATGCAGTCATTTTCTTCCTGGTTCCTGATGACCTTTCCCCTGGACTTGCAGAGAGCTTGATTTGGCCTTGGAAATTGGCTTGTGCACCAGGAACTGTTTTGTCATTTCTGTTTCTCTTGGAAATGTGCATTCTCCTCCCTGGCAGTTTCTCCCATGCGGGCAGGCCCTGAGTGTGAGTGCCAGATGTGTCAGATCGTCAGGCTGGGGCACACACAGGCTTCTGATGGAGCTGCTGGAAACACGATTTTAGCTTTTCATCTAAAATAATAGAATTCCTACGGCGAGAAGTAGACAAGTAAAAGTAATAATATGCAAAAATTTGATTTTAACTTTTGCCTTGAACAGATATTTACCTGGATTTGCGACTGGTCCTGTGGCCACAGCTGAAGGGAAATGCCCCTCTCTGGTGTCACCCAGGCAGGTAAGGCACTGAGCTCCATCAGGGCTGTGCAGGGTGACCCTGGGGGATGTGCTGGTGTCCAGCAGAGTTCTGCCCAGGGCTGCTTCATCTTCTGCTCACAGCATCCTAAACACTCCAAAACACCGCTCATTTCTCTGAACACTTCCATCAGCCTCTTAAAGGTGCTTTTAGAGCCCCCTTCGGTGCTTCCCCATGCTGCCAGGCTGTGAGCAGGTTCCTTGTCACTGTCCCTGTGTCACTGAGCTGTGCCAGCCCCCAGCAGCAGCAGGAGTTACACACTGGGGCTCCACAGGACACGGCTGGGGGCTCAGCACAACTCAGGGGATGCAGAGCTCAGCTCCAAGGTGGAAAAGGGAAGATGCTGTCCAGTTCTGAGAGTGAACTTTGAGATTATGGGGCAGGATAAAAATATGGCCCCTGCAGAGGATTTCCTAATGAGGGACAGGCTGCCCAGTGGGGGAAAAAAATGACTTTCTAATGGCATCTGCCTATTCTACATATATATAATGAGTCAAACTCTGTGTGGTCAAATTACTGTCTGGGAAGGGTTTGGAGTGGAGTTGTGCTTCTGGCCTTTGCAGTAACCCTGAGAGACAGAGCAGAGTGCAAAAACAGAACAGTGTCTGCAGAAACCAACAAGTGACAAACCCCGGAGGTCCATTTGCCTCTTTATTGCAGGAATCTGTGGATCAGAAGATCAGGAGAGCACTGGGAACACAGCTACTGCCCTGATTAGCAGTTTCAGTCTTGTAAGAGCACTCGTTTTGCTCTCTCAAGGAGGTGGCTCTTTGTTGGCAGCTGGAGCCTAGGAAAGGCTGAGCCCTGCAATGTGGGGGAGTCACTGCAATGAGGCTGCAGCCCCCTGCCCAGCCCTGCCTGTCTGCACCCCCAGAGTGCCTGCAGCCCCTGCAGCCCCTGCTGTCCCTGCTGTCCCTGCTGTCCCTGCTGTCCCTGGGTGCTGTCCCTGCTGTCCCCTGCTGTCCCTGCTGTCCCTGCTGCCCCTGCTGTCCCTGGATGCTGTCCCTGCTGTCCCTGCTGTCCCTGCTGTCCCTGCTGTCCCTGCTGTCCCTGCTCCGTGTTGAAGCAAGGTTTTGCCTCCTTAAAAAAAAAAAAAAAAAAAAAAAAAAAAAAAAAAAAAAGAGAAACATTTTTGCTTTACCTGTCATAGTAAACTGGCTCTCATGCCAGTAAAGCATTCCTAATTGGCAGGATTTAGAGACTGATCATTTCAATTTATGCCCAGAACAGGTAGGGCAGCAATGAAAGCCTCTCCCACCCAACCCCACCCCTTCTCACCAGTGTGCCTCAACCCTGCCCTGGAGGGACCACCTGGAGGGCTGAGCAGGGAGTTCCCTCCTCTGCACAATAAAAAGGCCCCATCCTGCAGTAAATAGCAGGCTGAGCTTATGGCTCGTTAATAGTCAGTGTCCCTCTGGTCATAAAGCTCCTGCAGGGCTCGTGCAGGGGAGCACCTGCTACCAGCCCTCAGTCCTTTCCTAAAACTGCCTTAAAACTTGGCAGAAAACACCAGAGTGAAATTTTCACTCCACGTTTGCCCGAGGTCAGTGGGGGAAATCGTCCATTGGCTGCTGGAAGCGGTTCCCATCACTGCCACAGCTTGCAACAGCCTTCCCAGAACCATGGGCTGTGGGTATCGCTTCCTTCTTCCCTTCCCCGGTGCGGATTTGCCTCCTTGTCCTTTCTGCTATTCCCTTTCGCTCTGCCCCTCTCCAGGACAGGAGGCTTGAGGGGCTCCTTCCCACCTATTGTGAGTCCCTCACAAGCCAAGCTCACACAACTCCCCTCCTCCTGGGGGAAGGCACAATCAACCCATATTTGTTATTGGCAGAGGGAGAACTACCCAGGAGTTATTACATTTCCCCATAAAGTGGGAGCATCTATTTCTCTAAGTAAAATGCTTTGCAAAAATAAAAACTAAAGCCAAGCGTGGCACAAACTGGGAGCCATTAGCAAACCAGGCTTCTGCAATTGCCCAGCTAAAATCCAAATAACATTTTCCAGTAGCCATTAGTCTCAGTCAGATTGCCCAATGCAGGCATCGCTGCTTTTCTCAGCATCTGCTTTATCAGTTGTGTTCCAGCCCGGAGAAGTCGGGGCTCTTGGCAGCAGCAGTGCTGATGTGCAGTGGTTATTGCTCAAGAGCCTTTGATCGGCAGCCAGCCCCTATCACACCGTGCTCCCGAGCCCTGGCTGCCAGAGCTGGCCAGCAGCGGGGCTGGATGGGCTCCCGAGGTGCAGCAGGGTTCCTCTGCAGAGATGTCCCTGTTATCCCCCATTATTAGCAGGGTTCCTCTGCAGAGATGTCCCTGTTATCCCCCATTATTAGCAGGGTTCCTCTGCAGAGATGTCCCTGTTATCTCCTGTTGTTAGCAGGGTTCCTCTGCAGAGATGTCCCTGTTATCTCCTGTTGTTAGCAGGGTTCCTCTGCAGAGATGTCCCTGTTATCTCCTGTTGTTAGCAGGGTTCCTCTGCAGAGATGTCCCTGTTATCCCCTGTTGTTAGCAGGGTTCCTCTGCAGAGATGTCCCTGTTATCCCCCGTTGTTAGCAGGGTTCCTCTGCAGAGATGTCCCTGTTTTCTGCTGTTGTTAGCAGGGTTCCTCTGCAGAGATGTCCCCTGTTTTCTCAGCTTTGCCCCGTGCTGCCCGTGCCAGGGCAGCCCCCAGCAGTGAGACCCCAGCAGCGTGCCAGCCCCGACAGGCTCTGCTGGGCTCTGAGCATCACGGCCAGAGCTGGGACCCAGCTCTGGAACACGGGCTCCATCGCCCTGCTCAGGCCTTGCCGTGGCTGAGGTTTTCCCCTGGGGAATGCAGAAATGCCCAAGCCGTGGTCAGCTCCTTTTGCACAGCTGGGGACAGCCAAGTCAGCTCCCCCCAGTTTGAGAACACACGAGATGAAGTGATCAGAATTTGCCGGGGCATGTGCTGCAAAACCGAGCAAGGCACAAAAACTTTCCCAGAGACACGGTGATCTCAGATCCATGTATATACAGATCCATGTAAATACATCCCATGTAAATAGAGATTTATGCATTTATCATTACTCATGCCAGTAATAATAGTTCCACTGAAATCACTACAGCTACATGTATAAAATGAAGCACATGTGTAAGATCAGGATCTAAATATGGAACAGGCAAATCCACCTGCAGCTATGGCAACTGCACCTGGAACTGCAGATGCACATTCCTGCATGAGCCTCTGTTATGTTCAGGGGCTAACTGATAATATAAAGATGTTATAGGAAAAGGCAGGACCAGAGACTCTTTGGTTCCAAAGCTCTGTATTTATCCCTTGCATCTTGATTTCTGTCAGTGTTCTTCACTCATTAACTCTGCAGCTCTGTAATTTGCTTTAAGAGGGGCTGAGGACGCTGGAGCTGCACTCAGACATGGAGGCCTTCTGCCATCTCTGCTACTTCTTCAGATTTGGGGACTCAGCCCAGCAATCAGCACCGTTCTTAACCTCAAGCACAGCAATGTTTTGTGCCACCCTGCGTGGTCATCAATAACTCAGCAGCAGGAGCACAGCCCTGTGCAGAGGCTGCCTTGTGCGCTTAACTGAGCTGCTCCTGCCTGGGGCCAGCCTGCATTCCTCTAAGCACCCAAACCCCGTGATAATTACTCCTGGTTTTGTACCTCTCCTCATCTCCTTGTGCCAAGTTCTCCCCCAGATATTCTGCTCCTTGTGCACTGCAGGGCTGGACACGCTGCAGCTCCTCACTAAGTGACATTCTTGGTTTGTTTTCTGGCCTTTTGCATTGCAAAAAGCAACAGAGACAGGAGCTGTATTTCACTGTTCCAGGACACCTGGGCTGAGAATCCCTGTCAGAAACATCCACCCCCCGTTGTGTGTGGATGGCAGAGGCTGGAGAAACGAGCAGAACTCATTTTCTGCCGGAGCCACCGCGCCCCTTGTGCTTCGCAAAGCGGCTCCAGGCACTTTCTCTGCTTCTTGTGATTCCCTTCCTGAATTGCTGCAGCCAAGTAATTGTTTCATCATGTTGCTCTGAAATATTTTCCCATCGTGTCACCATGGCGTTCATTTCTCAAACCACAGTTCCTCTGCTCACTTACAGCAAACGCATCCCAAAGCAGCGGTGCCAGGTGTGGAGGGAGCTGCGGCCGGGGCTCGGAGCGGATTTTGGGATTCCTGTCACTGTCACTGTCACTGTCACTGTCACTGTCACTGTCACTGCTGGGCACCGCTCAGCACAGCCCCAACGAGCTGTTGCAACGCCCTGGCAAAGGCAGTTTTTTGTTTTATAGCAAACAAACAAGTCTGGGTCCGTGTGGGGCTGGGGACCGGAGCCTCCCGCGGCCGCCTGGCCAAAGCCAGCGGTGTCTGAGCTCCAGCCCATCCCTGCCAGGGCTGAGCCAGAGCTTCTCCAGCCTCCCCTCCCACGGGATTTATTCTGCAAAGTGTGTGAAATTAGGAGACACAACTAAATCCTCTGATTAAATACCCTGAACTCTGGGAAGGTGCTTTGATAGCTATGGAATGTGTGATACAGAATCCCAAAAGCAAGGCCAACAGGACAGGGCAAGGTGAAAACCAGACTGTGAAGAATTTTTTTTTATTTTTATTATTTATTATTATTATTATTATTAATTCCATGGTAATGGAAATAATACTATGGGGGGGAAATTTCTAATAAATGAGGGTTAAATTTGGCACCACTTTTTGAAATTGTGGCACCCAGCTGGAAGGTTTGGAATTAAATATGTCCCTGTTGTAAATGGAAATAAATTATCTTCAGCAAGTGTTAACCCACTTACACTCATTTTGAATTCCAGCCCTATAGTTTCCCCCAGCCAGGCAGATCTATCCAGCAGCATGTCTGGGAGGGGAGAAAAGCTTTTTATTCAAAATAAAACATTTCAGCCCCTGAGCAGGTGGGGAAATGATCACAAAAGGCAAGTTGGTTTCCAGTGGAGTTTCCAGTTTCCAGTAGAACAAATGCAGCATATTTAGGGAATGAGGGCCCTGCCAGTCCTGGGGGCTGCAGTGCCCGAGCAGGATGATTGATTTGTGTTTGACAGAGGAGCAGGATGGTTTTTATTGGACAGAGGAGCAACAGTTAGTACAGAAAGGTGCCTGAATTTTCCTGCATCTTCCAAGAGTCACCAATGCAAGGCAGTGGGAAGAGGGGCAAAGCAGCACCACAGTGTCAGAACTGCACTGGGTTTCGCATGCTTTGGGCAGATAACAGAGTGAGAACTGAAGAACTGCTTTCAAAACTAGAATTGTATTTTTAAATGTATTTTTTTAGCTGCTGCATGTGATTCCTTTTGCAGAACTAAGCACTACTGAATTCAAACACCTTATAAACCAGTGCTTTGGAAAGGGGATGGCAGTGCCAAGGATTTAGAGACTGACTTCTACAGAGGAAAAACCTCTGTTATCTTAGTAGCAATAAGACCTGTAGAATTAACCAATGTAATACATCATTTGAAAAGAAAGATAAAAATAAAAAGCGCAAATGAAATGCTGCTTATAAATTTCTATAAAGCTGAGAACAGCCCTCCAGTGCCTGGAGTTCTCTGCATGCTTTGCCTACCACGAGCTGTCCTGAGTGGCTTCAGGAGGAGAAGCTCGGGCAGCCCTGTCCTGAGCAAATCCTGCTCTCAGCAAGCAGAACCTCCCTTGCCATGAGAAACTAAATCAACATTTGGACAGGGATTTTCCAATCCCCCCACTGCAATTAGAAAAGGTATTTGGAATCTTTTGTCTAATTGAGTGCTTGCAATTTTCCCAGATTCATTTACAAGCTATTTTTTCCAGACTATTATTCTCTAGGAAATGTTTTAATTACCCAGGCTTTTTCATATGCTGTTTTAGAGGGCAGAGTATTTCATGACCTCCATGCATTTAATGGCACTACAAAGCTCCTACAATGTAAGTTATGAGGGTAATACAAGATTAAGAATGAAGGATTGGGGAATTCTCTTTCCAAGTCTTTCACAGATTCCTTCTGAGACTACTGTAAAATTGGTGCATTTATGGCCTTAATTTTCTTGTCCATACAAAAAATCACTGCTGGACAAGGTTTCTCCTGAACTAGAAATCCGTCATCCTAATTAGGAGATACCTTGGAATACAGCAGTAATTTAAACATCATTCTTTAAACTGCAGCAACGCTGCCCTGGCTCTCCTGCACTGGGGCAGGCAGGGTTTAAGGATGGGGATTAGCTCCTTCATGCCTGCTAGAGCTCAATCTCCAAAACTGGACTATTATTTAAACACATATAAATACCTTCAGTGCATCTTATCTTTCAATCTACCCTGCCTTCCAGCCCCCACAGACTGAACTCTTGTTGGAAACTTGGTTATTTAGAAAGACAGAAATGTATCTGAGTCCATCTCCAGTCCCCCGGCAGCTCCAGCTTGGGCAGCGCTGGGCTCCGACTGGGAACGCTGCTTGTGAGTCTGGGTGACATTGTGTGGCCTCCAGCTCAAGAAGAAAATAGGATCTAACGATGTGGAGAAGTTTCGTAATGATCCAAATGGTAGAATAAACAGCCAGGGGAGGCTGGAGTAATCAGTCACGAGGGACAGCCAAGACAAGATCTAACGTCTATCCTGCCTGCAAGAACTTGAGTCATGCTGGTGCAGGAGCGAGCTCACCCAAGAAATCTATTTTAGGGGCTCGTAAAAAACAACTGAAGTGCACTGTAGAAATGAAAAAGCGAACGGGGGAAATGTGAACAGGGCTAAGGCTGCCCTGCCCGCTGCTGCACAGCTCTGGGGTGAGCAGGGGACTGCGAATGCCAGGGAGGGCTCCAGCTGATGGACCTGCAGGAGCCTCTGATCTCAAGAGTCAAAAAAAGCAGAGCAGTTCTTTCAGCAGAAAACATGTTTTGCTTAAAGAGACACTAGAAATACGCAACAAATTCTGGATTTGTCCTGCAACCCACGGCTGTTTGTGTGGAGTGTATAGGAACAAACTCAAGGCCACTGTCTTTGTACTGAAGCCCCCTTTTGTCCTCAGCTGTCAGAGCACGGCCAGCAAAGGAGTTTCTTTCCCCAGGCACTGGGAATATGGATCTAAAAACTTCACACTTAAATTTGGCCTAACAGGAAAATGGAAAATGCTGACTAAGACCTGATCTTTTGCCCAGCTCCCTCCACGGAAGCAGCCTGAGACTGTTCTCTCCTTACAGAGCTTGCAGCAGGGAATAACAGAGCTGGGAGCTGCAGGCAGGCTGGCCTGTCCCAGCCTTGCATCTCCCCTGTCCCAGCCTTGCATCTCCCCTGTCCCAGCCTCACATCTCCCCTGTCCCAGCCTTGCATCTCCCCTGTCCCAGCCTTGCATCTCCCCAAAACAAAGTCCTGGCATGCTACAAACCTCCTCCTCCTCCTCTGCCACCCTCCACTCGTCTGTCTCTCGCTCCCAGCAAACACCTCTCATCACAGGATCTCCCTGCAGGATCTTTTCTTTTAGGAAAAGTTTCAGGAGCAAAGGGAAGGGGGTGGTTCAGGAGCCTCTCACCTGGTTGGGTCTCATGGGAGCTTCCTGAGCAATGCCCGAAATTACCGAAATCCAACAGAAATGCTACTTTCTCATGTTTATTCCTGTAAACTACAAACATAAGAAACGCTGAATCATAGAGAATAGAAACTCTGTAAAGAAAAAACCAAAACAAAACAAAAACCAAACACAAACAAAACCTCATTTCAGGCTTCCTCCCTTACTTTTTCTTCCTCCCTCCCACTTCAGACTCGGCGTTATTTGCCAAGGATTGGTCATGGTTTGGATAGCACATCTTGCTCTACACGTTCAAAACAGCATGAAGTGCAGAAAAAAACCCAACACAAACACCTCCTCCCCAAACAACACCCAAGCAGCAGCTAAAGCAGGTGATTAGAGGAAATAAAAGGAGGCAACAAGAACTGGCTCAGGTTTCCAGCTCTGCTCTTTGCCGAGTTTCTCTTGAGGGTTTTGGGGTTTGGTTTTGGTTATTGAGTTGTTGTTTTTTTTTTTCCTTTCTCTCAAATAAAGCCAAAAGACCGACAAAAATCCCTATCCCTGATCACAGCGTTGAGCCAGAATCAGCTGGAATTTCAACCCTGTGTTTAATCTAACTTTAAACATGCCTTCAAAATAAAACAAGCTACTGGTTTTTAACCTAGTCATAAAGTTTATTAAAATTGTTCATTAATGCTTCAAATGTAGCAAGAATGCATAGATCCCAAAATATACATATGTATTTTCTTATAGAAATAGATTATTCTTTATAATAAAAAAACTGTAGGAACATCTTTAACAGATTACTCAATCCATGACTGACAGTTACACGAGATTGCATCATGTACACAGCATTCCCAGCCATGCTTAAAGGATTGCATCACTTTGCCCTTGCTCTCCTCTCGCTCTTTTAAATAACCCAGCGCCCAGCAGAGCCCGCCCGGGCCGGGGCCGGGGTCTCTCCGCGCCCGGCCCCCTCCGACCCCGCGCGGCGGCGGAGCCTTCCGCCAACATGTCGATAGAGACCGAAAAAAAAAATAATAAATCCGACAACAACACCAGAGCTGCCTTGATCCCCCAACAGACACAGCCCAAATCAGAATTCTGCTCCTGGTGCCTGGAGAGAGCTGAGGAGGACCC